AAATAGAAAGTAAATGTTTAGAAAATGATGATAACTTATGTACAAATATGCTTGATATAACTGATATATGGAATGTTACAAGAGCTGTAAGAGCCCCCAACGAAATTATTTAAGAACGAAGAGAGAAAGAAAGCTCACAATAGATTTTAAACTTGTTGAAGAAAAGAACAGTGATTTATCTGTCTCTGCATAGTCCATTAGGCCAGGGCCTAGAGGCCAATCCTGGAACAGAACATCAGTTGTGTATATGTAAGTTCAGGTTAAAGATGACGAAAATTAAAACGAGCTCATGAGAGCCAAAATACATCTTTGAGTATGCCCCACCTGACTTAGCAGGACATTTCAACAATAGGTTTGAATCATTGACCACTGAACGATAGAAGACCTGCGAGCCTTGGGATGACATCAAGTACATTCCACATGACGAAAGCAAAATGTCATTGAAAATGACACGAATGTAAGGATCAACGTGAATGTCGGAAGAAACTTGCTCTTGGTAAAGTAAATGGAAGAACTCACGAAATAAAAGAGCTGACCAGAAAATGTCAAAGGCTCGCTTAAGAAGACAAAGTAAAGTAGGCTAATCAGATGTACAAATGAAAGGTAGCTAGATTGCGACAAGGGGAGTTATCTCACCGAATGCCTGTGCTAAAGGACAATGAGCTGGCATGCCACAATAAAGGTATTGGAAAGAAGCCAGGCACACTAGACACCTATGCTAAAATCTAGAACTGAGCATACTCAGACCCAAGTGCTCTCGGCCCTGGTGGGAGGTTCACCTGACCGCACAGAGTGGGCACCAGCAATATGACGTCACACAGGCGCCCCAAACTCAGCCAATGAGATCAGCCAATACCCTCAACCACACCTCCCCAGCCAGTGGGAATGGGAGGAATAAAAGCCAGGTGTGCTCTGCAAGCAAAGGGTGAGCTTCCTTCTTTCAGCGCGCATGCACTTGCTTGCTGCCTGCTCAGTCTCTTGGGCTTTTATGCTCCTAATTCCTGCCCATGGCTCTGCAAGCTGGTTCTGTGCTTCTGTTGTGGTAATCCTTCCACATGTTTTTCCACGTTCCCTTGAAATGGCCATTTCAGTTGTGAAATTTCTCATGGCCTCTGCCATGCGGCCCTGCACACTTTTCAGAGATAGTGTGTATTTTTCGAGACTGTGATACCTGAATACACTGAAGGAATTAGCAAAAGACGCCTCCAGAAATTGATGGACTATCAATCCAAGAAGCTGGACGATATGAAGAAAAATGCCACATCAGGACTGGAGAAAGAATCATTAACAACTTGTTGCATACACGTAACCCAACCTTACTAAATGAAAGCAAAGAAAATTTGAAGCTCCTACTGATGAAATTCAGAATAGCCTTCAGTACGAGTTACCGATCAACGTTTTAAGAAACGAGCGAACAAAACAACAGAACCCTAAATACCAAAGTAGATGCCAGAGAGTTGACGCAGACTTATAGCAGCCCTACAGGGCAGGGAAGACCTGCTCTTATGAGTTTCCAAGACTTATTTTGTACATGAAAAAAGAGGTCTACCTTTTCCCATGGAGTGTCTGGGATTTTCAAACCACTGACCTTGTGGATCTCGAAGCCCCATGAGTAACCACTGGGCTAGCAGGGCTCAAGGTAAGGAAAACAAAAATATCTTTATAACCAAATCAGCAAACAGCATTGTGGGAAACAGAACCCGGAAAAGAGTATATTCAGACAAACTCACCATTCATATGTTAAGGAGTCTGGAAGGCTCCTGAGGGAACCTTCATGTTAGTGGTTTGGAGATGTGTCCCATCATATTCTCCTAAGTAAAAGTTAGTCCCTTCAATGACACCCCCCCCCCCCCAAATAATGCCAAATTTAAGGTGCTGTTTGCAAATAAATGGTTGCTTACTAAATGCTTGAAGGTCAACTGCTTGAAGGCTATCTGCCAGAAAGTTGTCTGCCATCCAAACCAATCAGGCCCTATTGTCTGTCCCACTCCCTTCTGATAAGGATAGGTCAAACCAGCTCAGAGAAGACCAAGGTTAGGTTGCCATCTTGACTCTTAGAGCCTGAGATTATGTAAGCTTGTGAGAATGCATTACGCTCTCTCTCTTCCTGGACCTGGCTCCTCATGTCATGGCAGAGGTGAGCATCCCAAAACTTTTGTCTGTCTCTTAATTTCTTCCCTTCAATCACTCCCTTATTCTGGTTCCAATCACCATGAAAGAGGGGAGCCCTTGCATGCTTTATTTTGTCCGATGTCTCTTTAAATTACCCCTCAATTACACAACTGCCCCCATGGACCCATTTGGTTGTGGAGGCTGGTCCATCCCCTGCCCCCCTTACACACACAACATCATGATAAATGGAGAAATGATTTAAGCTATCAAGAATTTAATTTTACTGGATCTACAATCAACACCTATGGAAGCAGCAATCAAGAAACCAAAGGACGTGTATTGCTCTGGGAAAATCTGCTGCAAAAGATCTCTTCGAAGTATTAAAAGAAAGCCCCAAAGATGTGACTCTGGGGGCTAAGGTGTAGTTGACCCATGGTATTTTCAATGACTTCACATGCATATGAAAGCTGGATGAATCAGGAGCAGCAGGGAAGAATGGGTGCCTTTGAATTGCGGTGTTGGTAAAGAACTACCAAATCTGCCGTGGGTGAAGTACAGTGAGAATTCTCCTTAGAAGTGAGGATGGGGAACCGTCTCATGTACACTGGACATGCTTCTCTGGAGGGCAGTCTCTGGAAAAGAACATGGTGTTTAGTGAACTAGAACTCTTGCTCCCATCGGGTCTTGTTGCATCCAACTCAGAGTGACTCTATAGGACCATGTACAGCTGACCTGTGGATTTTCGAAACTGTAATTCTTTGCGGGAGTAGAAAGCTTCATCTTTCTCCTTTGGAGGGGCTGGGGGGTTCAAACTGCTGACCTTGCGGTCATCGGCTGAATGTGTAACACGCTATACTGGACTCCTGGGTGAAGGAGAAGGTCAGTGTAAAAGAGGAAGACTTTCATCAAGATGGGCTGACACAGTGGCTACAGCATTAGGCTCAAACACAACAATGTTATGGAAAGTATTGCATTGTGTAGTGTTTTCTTCGGTTGTACTTAGTGTGGTAACTATGAGTCAGAATCAATTTGACAGCACCTACCTACAACAATGAAATCAAATCAAACTAACTGTCATCAAGTAAACGGCGACTCACAGATCCCGCCTGGGTTTCCACGACTGTTTACTGGAGTAGAAAGCCCAGTCTTTCTCCCATGGAGCTGCTGCTCCTTTCGAACTGCCAACCATGCGGCTCACAGCCCAACGGGTAGCCACTACACCACCAGGGCTCCTACTGCATTTAACATGACTAGAGTTGCGGAAATGGGCTTAACTAGATTACGTGTCTTCTAAGAGGCCTGCTAGGACTTGTATGAGGTGGTAGTGCTAGGACTTGAATCTGACCCATCCAGAGTAAGAGTACCAAAAATATTAAAGGCATAGATTCAGAAGAAATATATTGCTTCAAGGGGTTATATTTTATTTGAAATAGCTACCTGATTTTTTGACAGCCTGCACTGCAATATATTTTTAAATAATCCGAAAATGAAGAAAATAAAACCCCTCAGGCCACATTTGTTTTTTTTCCTTTTCCAGCTATCTCTTCAGATACCTGGAATGAAGTGAAAAGGTCAGGTTTTCCTCTACGCTGCCATAAGTTAATGGCCCGAGGAGGCTATGCTGTAACGTGGAGTGAACATTTAAACTATATTATGTGTCATTAATTAATAAGGCTACTATGCCACCATCTCACATGCAAAACTGGTTCCATCTGCATTAAACAGTGTTATTAATATAAGGAAAGGTCTTGCAAGGTGGCCTCTTTCAAGCGCATCCTCTATAAATGACTGCAGCTTTAAGGGAAATGCAGTCTTTTAATCTGAGAACTCAGACTGGCTCCGTTTGGAATATTCTGCGAAATGGCTTTGGGGCTGACAGAGCAAGAGAGCCTGTATCTGTTTCAATCCTCTTCCGGAATCTCCTGACGATTCTATTCACAACGACAAATGCTGACATCCTGCAAATTGTGTGGTGAACCCTGTGATGATTTCTAAAACACGCAAGAGGTCATACCCTCACGATAGGTGATAGCATTCCAGAGGTCAAGGGGCGTGCTCATGACTTCCTTGATCACAGACCAAACTGACTTTTCTTTTTTTTTTTTAACATTTTATTAGGGGCTCATACAACTCTTATCACAATCCATACACACATCAATTGTGTAAAGCACATTTGTACATCATTCTCAAAACATTTCCTCTCCACTTAAGCCCCCTGCATTAGGTCCTCATTTTTCCCTCCCTTCCCATTCCCCCCCTCCCTCATGAGCCCTTGATAGTTTATAAATTGGTATTTTGTCCTATCTTGCCCTGTCCGACGTCTCCCTTCATCCACTTTTCGGTTGTCCGTCCCCCAGGGAGGAGGTCACATATAGTCCCTTGTAATCGGTTCCCTCTTTCCTACCCACTCTCCCTCCACCCTCCCTGTTTTGCCACTCACACCACTGGTCCTGTAGGGCTCATCTGCCCTGAATTCCCTGTATTTTCAGTTCCTATCTGTACCAGTGTACATCCTCTGGTCTAGCCAGACTTGCAAGGTCGAATTTGAGTCATGGTAGTGGGAGTGGGGAGGAAACATTTAGGAACTAGAGGGAAGTTGTATTTTTCATCATTATTACATCGCACCCTGACTGGCTCATCTCCTCCCCGAGACCCCTCTGCAAGGGGATCTCCAGTTCAGCCCATCATTTAAGACCCAACTTGACCTGTACACAACTGTGTGGTGGCTGTATTATTGCATAGGAATTGGGCCTTTGGGTACATGCTTCCTAGGGGCTTGGGAGTGTATGTGAGGCAGGAAAGTCAGACCAGATGGGACAGGCTATCATCGGAAATAGATCATTGACTGATGAGTGTCTTTCTTTTCCTTTTTGGTCACTCGTTCTTAGGTTCGATCAGCAAAACCCGTAATTGGGTATTTGGAAAACAAGGGAACATGACTGTCCTGGATCAGCTGAGTCACCGAGAAGCCTGGTCCTTTTGACTTAGAAGAGTACACGTGGGCTTCATTCTGGGTGCACATTGAACGTATTCGTGTTTGTACGTGGTGTGATGGGAAGGCTGATAATGAGAGAGGGGATGTGCTTTCATTTCTGTGGCTTAGCCTTTCTGTGTCAGCCTCAGTTCTATTTTGTCCCCTTCGCCCTTAAAAACATCTCAATGGATACAAGAGTGTTGATTGACCAGGACATCTGTAAAAATAAAAAATTAAGGCAAGGTGCATGCGTAGGTGGTACCTGGTTTAGTGTTCGATATGATAAGGTGCTTTCAAAAATCATATTATTAATACGTTGATAATGGGGAGGATATGGAGTTTTCAGATTATTGCCACGCTATAAAACACGTGTTGTACCACAAGACGGAGCTCCGTTGTCAGCCCCCTCTCCCCCCATGGGCTTCAGTTTGTGGCTGAATCTGAAGCTTTAGGAATTGCCTCTGAAATGAATCCATCCAAATACTAAGGGCATACAACTTGTATAAGACAAGGGTTATAGAAATCTCTGAGTCCCTTAGAGACACACACAGTTAACACCATTGGCTGCCAATTAAGGAAGGCTCCGATGAAAGGTCTGCGGTCTAATTCTGAAAGATCAGCTATTGAACATCCTATGGAGCACAAATCTACTCTGACACACATGGGGTTTCCATGAGTTGGAAAGGGCAGATGACGTGTGTGTGTGTGTGTGTGTGTGTGTGTGTATTAAATCCCAATAGCATCTGGAGTCACTGCTTCAGGGTACCTTTGATGTTTCTTGGCTACAGTCAGGATGGAAGGGATGTGGGAGGGCTTCTAAACCATGCCCCACGCTCCCTAACCACTTTCCCTGGCTGAACCAGCAAAGTGAAATGACAATTTAAAGGAAACATTGGAGAAATCTAGCCCCCAATCCCGTGGGGTCTCTATGTAATTTGGATCATGGAGGGATCACGGCGGGGTGGAAAGAGGGTGGAAGGGCAATATAGATAAAACTTTTAAGCAAAAACCAGTCCCCACTTGGTTTTTTTTATAGAAAGCTGACTCGGGAGAACCTTTTTATTTTGTCTTTCTTTTTCCGGGCCTCTCCTATTTTGATCCTCCCCTCCCACTCCCACTCCCAGCCTGGTGTTCTCCAGCACTGTGAGCCATCTGTGTGTGTAGGAGCTACGGGTGCCATCTTCAGATGGAGGTGACAAATGAAACGTCCCCTGCATTCTAACAGCTCTCAGGGTCGCATGTTGTTTTATTCCCGGCGAGTGCCAGTCCCTCTGGGAGGGCATGAAAAGAACAATCCTTATGGGGAAGAGCTGCCCATCATGGCCACTCTCCACAGAACCAAGCAACTCCTCTTTAGAATGAGGCTTTATCTTCCCAGAGAATCTGCCTATGTTGGGGCTGACATCCATCCATCCATCTATCTATCTTCTATCTATAATTGTAAAGAAGTGATATGTGTGTGTGTGTATGTATTTGAATCAACAAGGCTGAGCCATTCATTCACATTTATCTGATCTGAAAGCAGGCCTCTCTGGGTAGGTGGTGGCTGGGGGGAGATATTTGCATTTCTGACCTGCTGCATGCCTTTGCTGAATGAAATTCATATAATTACTACACACCATGACTTCCTCCAGAGTTGTATCCGTTCTGGTTGGCTTTTTTTTTTCTTCCTCCACTTCATCAGCATCCAATTAATTAGCTGTTGTCATGGTGACTGTTGCCATGACAGCATAAAATTCTCCCAAAGGGTTTCTCATTCATATTCTAATGAAATACATGCACATAGCTGGGTGGCTGGAAAATGTGGTAAGGAGAAGTCAAGAAGAATGGAGGAGGAAGGAGCAAAGGGCTTCTTTGTCCCATCACCTTGCTCTCTTCAGCTTTGATTTTCACGGTTATCTTTGCTTATGATTTATTCTACAGAAACGCCTTGCTGTTTGTCTGGACATATGACCTTTGTGGGGAAAATGGGATTTTATTGCCTTACGCCCACAATCCCCTCTCAATTCTTTTGTAGTTTATAAGGCAAGGGCACATTGACTTTCAGCTGTTGTTTGGCCCGACAGACTGGTGATTTTTAACATACTCTCCACAGGCCAAATGAAACAAGGAGTTTTGTCACTCACAGACATTGACAGCCTTTCCCTCTCGAAAGAAGATAATGTCTGTCACCTGTCCACAAATAGTGTCTCAGAAAGCAGTGGTTCTGCGATTAGTCATTTACCCTACACATCGGTCTATGCATTAGTTATCCTTCTTTGGTGTCTGGCCTTTCTTATTCTCTTTCCAGTTCTTCCAGAAGTGACTAAAGATTTCCAGGGCTCTTGCAACCACATGTTCTTGGCATTTTGACCTGAACCGAGGCCCACACATCCCTATTGCTTCCCTACCTCTGGCCCTGCTCGCCCACATGTCCTCCTGTGTTAGGCTGGGTTGTATAGAGAAACAAAATCAGTGACACTCATATATATATCTATGAGTGTTTTATATTACGAAATAATCTTCCTACTTGCTGTGCACGGGGTGTGGTGCCAGAGAAGCGCTTGCAGCCTGAGCGCGGTGCCTCCTCCCCGAGACTCTGAACGTCTTCAGCTCAAAGCAAGGGCCAACCTGACTTAAGCTCTCCCGAGATGGCCAAGCAGCCAGACTACGACCTGGAGAAAATTGAGAACAAAGCAGAACCCACCGTAGCCATGCTTCCCAATTACCTGCAAGCTTTCAAGAAAGCCCTGGTCCTGGTCATGCAGGTGCAAGAGCAGACCAACAAAGAAACCAGCAGCAAGAAAAAGCCCCAGTGATGACTAAACAAATCTGAAAATAACGGGAGTTTTCCACACACGTTTTGAAGCCCCCTTGTATATCTATCTCACAACTTTTGCCTGTTCAGTTATTTACAGGTTTAAGCCTTATTGACAGCAATGACAAGAATCTGTTTGCAAGCTAACATTCCATGATCCTTGTAGTTTTTCCATCCCCCTACCCCCCCCCCCACTTTCTGCATAGTAGACCCTAGTAACCACTAATAAACTTTGATATCTATAAAAAAAAGAAATAATCTTATAGCAAGAAGGTAGCCCAGCCCAGTCCAACTCAAGTCCATAAATAATGCAAACTGGGGCCCTCTCTCCAGACTCCCATAATGATGCAGAAAGGTGATGCTGCAGAAAGGTGAATGAAGCAGGAAGCAGAAATATCACAGGCCAGTGGGTGCAGAGTTGGTTCATGGTCAGTGGAAACATGGCAGGATGCTGACAGCTCTCAGGGTTTGGTGGTTCGTGTCTGTCCCCCCTGGAGGCAGAAAGAGTCCCAGCAAGCAGACAGGCAAAGAGGCAGCTGGAGAGAGGGAAGTTCCTAGTTCCTCCCTCATTAGAAAGCAGCACCCCCAATAAGGTTGTGACCTGATTGGCAGATTGGATTCCACCCCATATACTTTCATGCACATTCACGTTGACATAAAGTCATCCAATCACGTCTCCACACTGGCAGCAGTCCTGTTTCTAACTCACTCTTTGACCATAATTTTCCTCTGGTTTCAATCCTTCAAAGGGTCTCCAATGAGCTTCAAATTTAGAATTGGATCTTCAAAACAGAATTACTTGGGAGACTTGTTATGTATGCAATCCCTTGGATTCCCTCTCATATATATGATTGCAAGTCTTGGGATGGGGCTGGAAACCTGTTTTTTATACAAACAGCCAGGTTATTCTAATAGAGGTAGTTTGTGGTCTCTAGAGAAACACTGACCTCATGAGGGGTGAAATTCAAATTCTTAGCATGGCCTACAAGGCCCATTACTGTTTGATGCCAATCTATTTCTGCTCTTCCAGCTTCTATTCTAATAATGACTTTCTGTCATATATTTCAGCCACATTCCTTGGGCTCCAAATGTAGGAATCCTGCCCCCTCCACATTTCAGCCCATCTGTGTCATGCCCAACCCAAGCTCCCAACTTTTGCCCTTCCTTTGTCAGAAAGGATTTTACTCATTCCACTCCTTGTCGGACTCCTCCTCGGGCCAATCTTGCCTCCTTCTTGAAGCCTCCTAGTCTTCCTAGACAGAACCACCCCTATCTTTATGTCCAATAGTACTTTCTTCATACATGCCTGCACTTGTGCTTACCACATTTTATTTCAACTTTCTCTTTAAGAGTCAATACTCTTTACTCTTTGATGATTCCTGCAGAAGAAAGCTAATCATTCTTTAGTACTCTCTAAGGAGCATGTAAAGGAGCCCTGAGGGTGCTGTGAGTAAGCCCTCACTTGCTAACGGACAGGTGTGTGGTTTGAACCCATCTGCTCCATCGAGCAAAGACCTACCCATCTGCACCTGGAGAGATGATAGCCTAGGAAAATCCTATGGGCATGTCTGCTCTGTCATATAGGATCGCTCGTCACGTTGAGTCAGAATAGACTTGATAGTGCACAAGTGCCATGCAGAGTTATTATTGTGCTAATTTGAGACAGCCATGACTCATAGCAATCTTACATATAATAGAATGAGAGAAACGTTGTCTGGTCCTAAGTGTCTTTGTAATTGTTGATGTATTTGAGATCATTGCTGCAACTTTTGTGTCAGTTGACCTCAATGAGGTTGACCTCTTTTTCCTTCGCCATCTGCTTTGTTGAACGTGTTCTTCTCTAGCAAAGTGTGTAAGTTGAAGTTTTAAAGTTTTACCATGCTTGCTTCTAAGAAGCTTCCCAGTCGTATTTTTCTAACACTGTTCAGGGCACCAGTTGGCTATGTGCTTCACCACACGCTGCTTTTTCTTTGCTTTTAAGCAGTTTTATTGGCATTTAATTCGCTTATCATGCAAGTCAATAGTTCAGTCATATTTAAATGAGTTGTACAATCACCAGCACAAAACACTTTAGGATATTTTTTCTTTCTTGTACTCATGATCAACTCTCCATTTCCCTCCACCTCCCCTGCCACAAATGCGGTCACTGTCTCTAACCCTTCACCTAGCCTGGGTTTCATATACAGAAAAACATGCCAAACAAAACCCCAACAACAATGATCAAGTAAAACGGAGAAAAAAACTCAATGGAAAAGAAAGCAGAAAAATATGAAAAACTAGAGCAAGTTAAAATGGATCAAAAGGGGAGCTCATATGATAAATTGTCAGTTTTCAACCTAATCCATCTGGAATAATCTGCTCTCCACTGCACTCTGCATGATAACAAGGCTATTCACATCCATGGTTCATGGTCAGAGGGAATTCACCGGAGGCTTAATCCATTAGTGGA